TGTCAGGCCGAGGTGGACTGGTCTGCGAGGGCTCCTAGGGGTCACTTGGAAAGTGGACGCCCTGTGTTTTGGAGGTGACAGCGGACGGAGCGAAATCCACCCAAGGTCCCTGCAGCCTCCCTGCCCTCCACCCAGCCTGGCTGCGCGGCCAGGGGCTCCCTAGGAGGACCCAGGGACAGAGGCCCGTACCTTGGGGGACGGCAGGCGGGTCTCAATGGCCCGCAGGTCCTTGTCCAGCTCGGCGCTCAGGTTGGCCAGCTCTCTCTCCAGCAAGACCTGGGCAGCGAGAGGCATGCACTGTGTGTGTGCGCGTGTGTGTGTGTGTGTGTGTGTGTGTGTGTGTGTGCCCATGCTGGGAGCAAGGGCAGCTGGAAGCTCCTGTCTCCCCACCCTGCACTCCAGGGAGCTGGTGGTGTCTTACCACTTCCTGCCTGTGCCTTCCTACCAGTTTTTCGTGTTACCCCTCTGACCAGGCCTGTGGAGCCCAGTTTCCTCACCGTCTCCTCCACAGCCTTCCACCACCTGGCTTCCCGGTGCCCATCGGGTCTCCCCCCACACTGCCCGCCCTAAGGGGCTGAGCATTACACACGCCCTCAGGCGCGAACGCACACATGCACACGCATGCACACCCCTGAGGAGCCGATTCCCCTATCTCCTCTCTCTCTTTCCCCCTGGTATTGGTGACAGAACCTAGGGGGGCACTCAGCCACTGAGCTACATCCCTAGCTCTTTTTAACTCTGTATTTTAAGACAGGGTCTCACCAAGTTGCCTAGGTTGGACTTGAACTTTTGCTGTCCCTGCCTCAGTCACCCTCAGGGCTGAGATTGCAGGCGAGCACCACCCTGCCCAGCTGCCCTTTGGTCTCTCTGGACCTCAGCTGCATGACATCATGAGAAAACTTCCTGACAGCTCTGGTCCACACTGACCCCGCCCCTCCCTGCTTCTGCTACGCGGGGCACTCCTTTACTCGGTATGTGTTCCTGATACTGTATATCCTATGTGGGCTTGTACATTATACTCCAGGCATTGTCTGGGTCCTGGCACAGAGGTGAACTTTATGGGACTGGAGACAGCCTCTGGCCAGTGCCCATGTTCCCTGGGGCCCCCACACAACCCCGGAATCTCCCTTGTTCACCCCCACCTGAGTCTGTAGCACTCACCTCAATGGGCTGGGAAGGCTTCTCCACAGGATCATCCACCAGTGGCTTCTTAGGCTGAAGGTGAGAAGCGGGTGTAAGGGGGTGGGCCCACCTCCCAGATGCTTCAGCTGAGGGGTGCGTCCACTCGCAGAGCTCCAGGCCGATGACACTCACCTTCTGCCCAGTCTCTAGTTCCTGCAGAAACTGGTTCCAGGACTCTTCTGTCCAGACATTGTCCACTTTCTCCCGGCGTCTGGGCACCTGCAGGGATGTGGGTGACCATCAGTTTGAGTAGCACGGCACTGGCTCACAAAGCGGGCTTTCAGGCCCTGCCTCTCCCCTGTCTCCCAGTGTCCTCTTAAGGATCCAAGCAGAAAGGGTACTTCCTGTGCCAGAGAGCAGGCAGCTGGGGCCAGGTCGGAAGCATGCTGCAGGGTTACCTGATTAGGGGGCCGGGATCCCAAGAATGCTGCCCCAGGAGTATAGTTGAAGGTACTTCTAGGTAGCTCTTGAGAGTGATCCCTGCTTCTCCTGCAGAAAGGGAAGGACATCCCTTCAGTTTTCTTTTAGAGGACCTAAGGAATAAGGAAGCTCACAGCCATGGGAAAAGGAGCCATCCCTTCAGCTGGGCCTACGCTGCCTCTGCCTGCCCTGGCCCCCTCCTGCAGAAGCAGTGTGAGATAGTTGCGTGTATTCAACCTCCACCACCTAGCGGCAGTGTGACCTTTCAGCAACCTAGACGGTACCTCAGGCTCAACACCTGCAAAACGAAGGGGACTTGAGCCAGGTGCCCAGGAGCCCTGACACAAACCTTCTTCATGGGGGGCCAGGCCCTCTCCTGCCAGCCGTGGGTAAAGCCAGCTGCCAAGGCTGGGTGGTCTCACCCCATGCCCTCTCCTATTGCAACGAATCCCTGGCACAGCCCTGCCTAGATCCTGGGCCAGTTATTCTGCTCCCTGGGCCTTGGCTCCATGGGGTGCTGCATTCAGTGGCCTCACCGAGGCACTGCTGACCTGTCCACCTCAGCTCCCCCCAGGTCTCCCTTTCCTGGCTGCCTTTAACTTCCCAGTCTGTATTTAGTTTGAAAGTTTCTACCAAGTGGAACCACTGTATCCAGTTTATCATATAATGGAATGTCTGCCCCAAGGGTCAGGCCCTGTTGGCTGTAATTATGACTTCACTCTGATTTTAGTAATAATAAAAGCGGTCAGAAGAATGGAATGTGTCATTGCTAATCCTAGGAGGCTGTGGTCCTTACTGAACCTGTGTATCGCTAGTGTTTGTGCAAACCCGCTGTGTGCCAGGCGTGATGTAGGGTGTATACATGATCTCAGTCTATCCTCACTGTCACCCATCGGTCCCGATTATGAGAGGGACACTGAGGCTCAGAACATATAAGTAGCCCAACACCACACCGCCAAAGGCCGTGCAATGGTTTGAACCCCAACTCTGGGTCCAGTCTGGAGATGATAATGATCATCAGGAGACATGGGCTGGTTACAGCCGTGCTACTGAGCACTCTTGGATTTCGCCTTGAGAGCGAAGCTCCCAGTTGTCTTCCTTCGCCTCTTCACTGCAAGAACCAAGCTCATCCACACTGTTTTTTCTCTCTCTCTGGTATCAAAGCAGACCACAGGTCCAAGCTGCCCTCCACAGGGCCCTGACACTCCCCACTCCCTAAAGTGACCCATGGATCTTTGGGGGGAGGATGGGTTCCTCCTGACGACTACAAAAGCAAGACAGATGTTCCTGATTAGGAATGGCCACCTTTCCCTTTTCCCTGGCAGCCAGAAAATGGGTCAGTGGAGCCAGAACCCTTTGTGGGCTGTGGCCACAAGGGGGCGCAGGTCCCGCGAGGATCACAGGCCCGCGTCCTGCAGCCCCTGCCCACAGCTCACCCTCTGGAAGCCTCAGTCATTGCAGACCTGGGGGCAACTCTTTGCTGGGGTCCTGGATGCCTGGGGTCTGCAGAGGAGGCGCAGGAGATCACTGTGGGTAGAAGAAGACAGGTGGGGTAGGGGAGGTGCCCGTTTATATTTCCTGTGTAGTACCACCTCCACCCTGGCTCCTGGGTAGTCAGTTCCCAGGGACAAGGATTGCACTCCCTGCCACCACCCAATGCAGGCTTTGTGCCAAGAGCTTTATGCTCTACAAAATTTTTAAAACAGTTCTTGTGTAGGTGGTGTCCCCATTGCACAGATGAGGAAAGACAGGCCCAAGGAAATCTGGCCAGGGTACGGCAAGGGACCTGGGGTTTGTTTGTTTGTTTGTTTGAGACACAGTCTCACTATGTAGTTCAGGCTGGCCGTGAACTCACTATGTAGCCCAGGCTGGCCTCAAACTTGCAGCAATCTTCCTGCCTCAGCCTTCCGAGTGCTGGGATTCCAGACGTGCTCCACCATGCCTAGCTGAGACTGGGAGTCTTAATTACCACCCGCCAGAGCAGTTGAACTCCCAGAAAGCTACCACCACCTTTCAGGTCAAAGCACACTACCTGTCCCTGAAGCCACTGAGGCTGCTCATCTCAGCCCCACACCAGGCTGGGTGATGAGTGAGCCAGCACTCCCTCACCTCTAGGTGGGTCCTGGAAGGTCCAGTCCAGCTGCAGATCTGGGGAGCAGAGAGGACCAGGTCACAGGTGGAGCAGAAAGTGAGCCGGGAGCCCTGGGAGACTGCTCAGCCGCTCCCAGCCTCCCTCCCACCCCACCCCAGGGGGCTGAGGGCTGAGTCACAGCCTTAAGAATGTCCAGAGGGAGGGAAGGACTCAGGAGGCAGCTCTTGGGACAGATTGAAATGCCTCTGGCAGACTCTGGGCCCTGGCAGCCAACCGGGCAGGCCTTCTCCAAGGTCCCATACACACCCTCTGGGCCTGCAGACCTGCCTGCCACGCGGGGAGGCTGGACTCGCCTTGGGCTCTTCCCCTGCTCTGCACGTGCCCTCTTCTGAATGTCCTCCTTCTCCCTGTGTCTAGACCCACGCCTCTTGGGGCTCAGGAACCTCTGGGGGGCCTTATGGGAAAAGCTACTGACCAGCCAGCCATTGCCCCCCAGCACGTCACAGCCCACCCCCACAGAAGCCCACTGTCCCTGGCTCCTGGGGTTTCCTGCTTCTGCTTCTCCCAGCAGACTGACCACTCCAACTCACGGCATCCCCCATACACACACACACACACACACATAGGTGTTCCACCTGCTCAACTCCAAACAACCCAACTGCCGCAGCTCACCACTTCCTCCTTTTGGGACCCCTTCCCCACCTGGCAGCAAGAAGAAGACTCAGTTTTCCTCTACCTCCCCGGCTGTACCTTCTCCATCCTTCTGGCTGTGGCCTGCCTGGCTCTGGAACTTCTGAACATCAATCTACGTGGGGGATCAGCCTCTTGATCTCCCTAGGTGACCCTGACTGGTCCTAGGTGACCTCCAGCGCTGGAGTCTGAACCCAAGGCCTCACACACGCTAGGCTCCACCACTGAGCTCCCTGTGTAATGTTTTTCTCTGGAGGTGGGGGTCTCACTAATTTGCCCAGACTGGCCTTGAAATTGATTCTCCTGCCTCAGCCTCCTGAGTAGCTGTGGTTACAGGCGTGTACCCTCCCCCTAGGTTAAGGCTTTTCAAATCAATCAACCCCTCTGTATTCACAAATTTCGCATCTATAGATTGAACCAAACCACAGATTGAAAACTTTCAGGAAAAATAAATCACATCTGTAATGAACAGGCACAAGCTTTTTGCTTTGTCATTATTCCTTAAACACTGAGTACTGCCACTGTTTACATAGCACTTACTTTGCAATGGGTCTAATAAGCAACACAGAGATGATTTAAAGTATACAGAAGGATGTATGTAGGTTTTATGTGAATACAGTGCCATTCTGCAATTTGTCTGTTGTACAGGGAACTTGGGCACACAGGGTATCAGTGTCTGAGGGGCCCTGGATGCTGTCCTTCTTGGATCCTGAGGGGTGATGACTACCATTTATTCCTGGGATTCACAGCCTTAGCTGCACATTAGAATTACACGGGGAACTTTCAATTCGAATCTCCTTTGAATGAGTCCCAGATATTTCCATCTGCAGCTCAGGCCTTGGCTCTGAACTGCAGTCTTGGATATTCAACTGCCTGCTGGACCTCTCCACTCGCATGTGGCCCAGATCTGAAACTGAATGCCCCGCCCAAGCGCTCCTCCTGCAGTCCCCTCTGTCTCTGCAGGTGGCAACCCTGTCCTTCAACTTGCTCAGGTTTACGGTTATCCTTGACACTTCTCTCGCATGCCACACCCACATGCGACCCATCAGCAAATTCCAGTCACTGTCTCTGGAACATATCCAGAACCCCACCCTGCCCCACCAGGTCTGCAGCTGGTGCCCTGGCCCAGCTCACTGTGGCCTTGAGCTTGGACTAAAGCAGAGCTTTTCTCCCAGTGCTGCCAAGCTGGGAAACGGGCCCCTGCTTCTACCATCTCCTATGTACCTGCAGCCTGCAACAGCCTCTCCAGCCGCCACTGGAGCGAAGCGTGTCACCCTTCCGCTCAGAACTTCCCAGTGGTTGCAGCGCTTTTGCAGAGTAAAAGCCAAATCCTTACCATGGGCTCCACGGCCATGGTGATCTGACCCTCTGAGCTCTGACTCCATCTCTCACTCCTGCTCCTCCTCTCCATGCCTGTGCTTCAGCCCCCTGCCAGCCCATGCTTTTCCTCTGGTCTTTGGAATGCTTCTCACCTGCTCTGCCGGTACCCTCCTTCGTCCCCAGAGCTCTCTGCTGTGTGGCCACCTGTCAGAGCTGTGGCCGAGGCCACAGCTTACTCCCTGCCCTTTCTTTTTCTCCCTGGCCCAGGCACCATGCCTGCTGCCACACGGAAGGGTTGCCCATCTATGGTGTGTCTCCCTTTTGTCTTAGAACAGTGCTCAGCACACGGTAAGCGCTCAGCTGATATACAAGGAGTGACAAATGGATGAGTGACCTTGTGACCACCTCACACATGTGCAGGCCACAGGGTTGGATGCATTTTGAGTTGTGGAAGAAAGCAATGCTTCAGGTCTAGGATGAATGCACTAAAGGTGCAATCTCAGCCTGGCAGGAAAAGAACAGAATTTCAGGGAAGGATTGCTTCCCTGCACCCTCAGGGGACATTGAGGGCAGCAGCTGGTCACTATCTGCCCCAGAATGCTCTGGAGGCCACTGCTGAGGACAGAGAGGAGACAGGGAGACTCCTTTCTTTGGCCTGTTTAGGGAAGGCTCACCTCACAGCCCGAGGTGTGTGCAGACGGCCGTGTGTGTGTGTGAGTGTGAGAGTGTGAGTGTGAGTGTGTGTGTGTGTGAGCAATCCCCTAAACTAATAGGTCCCCTTTGCTGTCCCTCCCTCCCTCATCTGCAGTGCCAGAGTCCACCCCAGGCCCTGGCACGGTGTCTAACCTGGCATTTTCCGGTGAATCTGCTGAAACATTCTCCGATACCAGTCTCTGGGGCTGTCGACGCTCTGCGATCAGAAAACGCAGTCAGGCTTTCCTGCTCACCCACCCTCCCGTGATGGAGCTGCACCAAAGCTTTCCTTCGTGAGTCCCTCCTCTGGCCTCCCTTGAAGCCTTGTGGGTGGGCTGGGGAGCACCTCTCGTGGTGCCTATGACAGTAAACAGGCACTAAGCACACAGTGTGTCACGTGAGTTAGATATCTGAAGGGCTCCACCAATGTGCACTGCAGTGACCCCTTCATTGTGCGTTCGGGGTGACTAACATTTTTCCTCTGCTTTTCTACGATTTCTAATATTCTACAAAGGACATGTTTCTTCGTAATGAAGCGGGAGGCCGCCTGCCCTGAACCTGGGAAGGGCCTGGCAGGAAGGTCTGTCACCAGTGCCAGCTGCTGACTCGAGACAGGAAGGTGGTGGATGGACAGGGGCTGGCAATGCTGGGGGACCTGGGACCCTTCCACGCCTCCTCACCCAGGCCTCCTTCCCTCATTCTGCCATTCAGTCATCCAGTAACTACTTTGGGAGCCCCTGACTGTGCCGGGCCCTGCACAACTAAGAGTAGGGTCTCTGCCAGACTCAGTTCTTACAGTGGTGCCTTGTTCCACTCTGACCGTCGTGGGAATTCTGGACCCGCGGTTCAGACACACAAGGGTGCCCCTAATTTTATGAGGTCCATGACCTCCAGAAACTCATCACGGTTGAACCCTTGCTTAGTCTGGAATGGTCAGGGGACAGACTTTATTGCCCCATTTGTAGGTTCCCAGGCCCCACCTGTCTGTGACCCCCACCAACCCTGGACTCACAGATCGGGGGGCGATGGGCATGCCGCTGTCATCCACAGGCCCGATCCCCTCGTACTTGACCCAGCGCTTGTCACGATGTCTGCTGTCCTTGGTCCATGTGGCTGCCCAGTTCTGGACATGCTGGGAGGTGGGGGTCTCCGGGCTCACAGAGGGCCGGCTCCCAGGGCCTGGCCAGGTCTGGTACCATGCAGGGTCTGTGGGGTGTGTGCAGGACAGCATTAGCTGAGGGCAGGGGTCCCCACCTGACTTTGTTTGTCCCTTAGTTCCTCAGATCATTGATCCCTGTGGGTCCAAAGTTTCAACACCCCCTTGTTTGTTTGAGTAGATGACGCAAACTCTACCAAGCTCCTCATGCCCAGCAATGCCACGGGCTTCTTTGTTTCTCAAAGTGAATTAAAACAGATTTTGTTTTGAGAAAATTGTGCTGCCTCCACCCCATCCTGCTTTCCCGGAACTGTCCTAACATCTGCAGAATGAGGAGTAGAAACCAACATTTACGGAGAGTACTGGGGTCATCCTTCTGAGTAGCTAGTGTTGCCATAAAAGGGCTTTGGGGACAGAAGGACATGGGCTTCACTGTCCATCCAGCCTTGGCTGCTGACCAGCTCCAAGACTCAGCAGTCACTGGGAAGATGTCGATGACTGCACCTTTACTTCTCCAGGACGAAGAGAGATAAAATGACCTTAGGTTTGTAAAATGTCTTTACAGGGTCCACAGTGGTAGGTGCTCTCGATTACCTGTCACGTGTCTGAAGTCCTTCACACAGGGCCTGCCTCATGGGAATACTCAGTAAACAACACCCCTTCCTCAGGGTTCAGCTGCACCCAGAAGTTCCCAGGAGCTCGGGAGCCAGGCTGTTGGGCCACCTCCCAACCTCCAGAGGAGCTGGGCCTTGAGGGGACTCAGTCCCACCCCTTCCTGCCCGCATTCCTTCCATGCGCATCATTCCCAGTCTAGTCCAAGCGATTTCTGGGCTGCTCGCGGTCCCCTTGACATCTGGGGCTCAGTGCCAGCCAGCACAGTCCCTTCCCCTGGCACTGGGGTTCATCCGTTCCTCTCGCTGAGTCAGCATTCTTTTTTCTTTTGCTACTGAGGACCCAACTCGGGACCTTGCACTTACAAGGCCGGTGGTAGAACCACTGAGCCAAATCCGCGGCCCATGAATCAGTGTTCTTGCACAGGGAGGGACCAAGGGACCTTACTCAGCTCCCTGCTACATTTCTCTGAGACACAATGGTGCCAGAGAGCAGGTCCCCTATGGAATCCCTGGAGTCCCTGTGCCTGAGTGGACCCACCTGGATGTCGGGGAGCATCTCTTGTCGTGGGGGTGTAGCCATTGCACACAGTCCTGGGCGCAGGGTCATGAAACTGGAAATTAAGGGTGTTGGAGCCACCATTCTGGATCACAGGCACCTGTGGGGAGGGCCAGGAGCAGCAGCTCAGGGCCCAGAGGGTCCCGCAGAAGAGGGGGAGGGATGGCTACGAGGGTCCGAGGGCCTCTTGGCCTTTCTGTGGGAGCTCTCTTCAGACCCCCTTCCCTCCCCGCTAGCCCTTCAATCCTGCTGCCCCCACCCACTGCGGGCCCACAGTGCACCCTCTTCCTCCTCCCCGCCTCACTCACCCGTGTCCCCCTGGAGGATGACCCTATGTGGGCCCGGAGGTGGCCCGGGATGAAGTCATCCAGGCTGAGCCCAGCAGGGAGATTGCAGGGTGGACCTTGCATGCTTGGGTCAGGGTTGGAGGATGCCGGGTGTGCCAGCTGCTCCTGTGCACGTCCTCTGTGGGCAAAGAGAAGAAGAAGCCTTGCTGGGCTGCAGGGCCCGTGCCCTCTTGGCTCTCGACCTTGGGGTCGGGGAGGAAGGCCCCGCTGCAGCAGGGGTTTGAGGCCAGCTGGGTGGGAGCTCAAGGACCCAGGAAACAGGCCACTCCGGGTGCCCGCCTTCAGGCTGCCCGTGCAGGCTCCCAGAGGCACAATGAGCTGCTTGTTAGGCTCAGGGCAGGAGCTCCGGGTGGGTGTGGGGGAGGGGAGACGTGGGCCGGGAGGAGGGGAGGGAAGGCCGGCCAGGAGCAGGCCTGCGGGCCCACTGGCCAGGCCAGGCCCGTGGAGCTGCCCCTGCTGCAGCACAGGCAGCAGCCCCAGCGTGAAGGCACTGGGAACTGGGACAGCGGGCAGAGGGGCCTGGGCAGCAGGGCTGTGTTTCAGTTCCCTTGCCTCCCCCAGGCCCTGGTAGCAGCTGCTTGCCCGCGGGCACAAGGAGTTCCACAGGCCTGCGCAGCAGCAAGGCTACCGGCCCACGGCCCTCGCGAGCAGCCAGCAGCGCCCTAATTCCTAACAGGGCCCAGGAGAGTATGGGTGGCATTTCTAGGCAGTGGGAACCACTCCAGAGCACAGAGGAAGTGCGAACTTCATTCTGGCCTCCTTCACAGGCTAGAGACTCAGCTCAGGGAGTCAGCAGGGACGGGGTGTAGAGAGAAGCATCAGTGGGGGCAAAGGCGGTGCTGTACACGGCACATGTGCACACTTGAACTCATGCATGCACACGTCCTTCATCACCTCCAGGCTACTTTTGTGTGATTGTTTGTTTGAGACAAGGTCTTGCTATGTAGTTCAGGCTGGCCTTGAACTCGCTATGTAGCGCAATTGTCCTCTTAACTTGAAGCGATCCTCCTGTCTCAGCCTCCCAGGTGCTAGGATTACATGTGTGTGCCACCACGCCCAGCTATCACCCAGCCTGTTTAGAATGGCAGGTCTTCCCTGGCAGCACCAAGCCTGACTTGCCAGCACGTTCCTCTACCCCAAAAAAGGTCAGCAAAAGGGGTTCCAGACACCCAGAAAATGGAGGCCTGCAAGAGGAATCTGGAGGTGGGTTCCAGGGGACAAAGAGGAGGAGGGCCTGCATCGGGGGCTCTTGTACCCAGACAGCTGCAGTGCCGAGTGCCACCGCCTCACCTCTGCCTTGGATTGGGCCAGAAGTGGAGCCAACCTCCAACACCTATAGACTGGATCAGATCAGACTTGTCCAGGCCTGTGGGGGCTACCGGTGAGGACAACAGATGCTGGGGCGCCCTATCACGCATGGTAAAATAAGCACACATAAAATTGTGAGCAAGACTCCTAGGGTGCTGGGGGGAGCGTGTGAGCAGCCTGTGGGAGGGGAGAGCGGTGTATACGAACAGCAGGTGCAGGCAGTGAGGTCCTGTGAGCAGCACAGGGAAGTGGAGATGAAGGTCCAGAAGGGGCCATGAGTCCTCCAGTTCCTGCTCAGGCCTTAGGGGACTGGCAGGGGGACAGGGAAGGCTGGGAGCGGTACCCTGTCTCTGGTCTGCCTTTGTGGGCATCCCGTGGACATCTGAGCAATCTACTGGGGACACGGCTTTTCCATGCCAAGCCCTGAGGGGGAGCAGAGTGAAGCAGGAGGAGGGGCAGCTCAGCAGCTGGATCTAATTAGGATTCTTACCAAAAGCAAAACACGCGGACACACCCCATTTCCCGCGGCAGGGCCTCCCCTCCTGGGGAAAAGTGAGGCAGGGCAGCTGGAAGATCAGCGGGTGTGGGGCACTCTAGCTCCCAGCAGCCACCCTCCCTGCCCTGCTGACTGCTCCAGGCCAAGTTGCGGGCCGCAGCATCAGCAGTCCTGCCATCAGCTGACCCAGCCTTCCGCCCGAGTGCCTGGTCCCACCCTCCGAGCTCTGTGAGCAGCGCCCTCTTGGAGGATGGGCAGGACAAGGAAGTCCCCACCACCGCCACCTTTTCAGGGGCCGCTGACCCCTTAATCCCCAAGGTGCTATTCCCTGGCTCTGCTCATGCGAACACGCAGGGGTCAGGTGGGAAGGGGTTCTAGTTTATCTCTGGGCAGAGCTGCCGAGAGACATTAGCAGGTCTCTCGGAGAAGATGGAAGTGTCCCCGGGAACCGTTCCCTCGCTAGGGGAAGACAGGGGGTGTCAGAACTCCTCCCAGAACTCCGGCAGCCCCCTTCGCCCAGGCGGCCAGCTCCGAAAGCTAGCAAAGTCCGAGCAGCTCTGCAGAGTAGCTGCGGAGTAGCTCCCACCTCGGAGCACCGGCCCTGACCTTGGGACTCGGCCTTTTGCTTTCCCAGGTATTTTTCAGCTACCAGGAGATAGGGACGGGGACAGCGACAGGTGTCCTCCAGGCTCGCCTTCTCTGGATGGAGCGTGGAGGAACTTCTCACAGCTCCTGTAGGAGTCTGGGACAGGGACTCCCTCGGGCCGATCCCTCCCCGGGCGGCCGCACCTCCCTCCACGCCCCTCGCCGTCGCGCACCTACCTTCCGCAG